TTATTATCTGATTATGCTGAAATTTGAACTTATTTGTTTAAAGTTAGGAGTTGGGTTAGAGTTCATAATAAAAGGTATAAGGGTATATGTGGATTTTAGTGGGTTTATATTTTCAAATCAGACATCAAATTTCTGCATCATCCATCGCAGTATCATTTTCATATATTACCACATTAACAGTTAAATAATGCTTTCATATTGTTAACAGTTTTAAACAAAAAAGTTCCAATTGCTTATGGCGTTAACATTATAATCATAATATTCATATTAAAATATGATGGCTCAATTTTGGTGCAGTTGCATTTGCGTGAAAACTACACTAGGACATCAATAATACATAATAATGCCTAATACTACAGTGGTCACAAAGAAGAAAACAATATACAATAAATTTTTTCTGCATTTAAGAATGACTACAATTTGGTTTAAAACGAATTCTATAAATAGCAAGATTATCACACAGTGGACGATCGTTCGTTATCGTTATTTCCGTTTTTTGAACATTATTGGTTATACCACTCTAACTTTAACAATTTAAAAACATTTTCTAACGTTCAACGAGTTATATATGATTATCTCTTCTAATTGGATGTTTCAGGTTAGCATTAGACCTAAAGGTTTTCAAATTTAGCGTGGATACCATGCACAAATAAATTTTTTTAAAGTTACATACAATTAGGCCTATGATAAAAATGTAAATACCGGGTCCATTCGAGGAATGTCTTTTCTAGTTTCATGTTGATAGCAATCTCTGACATAAAGATAAACATTCTATTGGTATTCTGATTTTTATCAACTGAAATTTGCATTATTTCGGGAAGGTATCATTAATACACACTAATTTTCAAATTTTAAAATGGATAACGGATTAGTGCATAACTATTACAGTTACAAGTCATTCTTGTACCTGGTAAGTTGCCAATAGGATTCAACTCAACATAGTTTTATAATGCCTTATGATTTAACTGATTCAAAAGTTAAAGAACTTGAAATCATCTGAACAAGCAAAATGCTTTTTCAAGAAAGCTTTAGAAATTAAAAGCTTTGGCTACATGAAACTTTAGTCTATTAATTTAGATTAATTTAGATTAACAAAAAAAAAAATCCGACCGTCGACCGAAATTTCAAATGATGTGTAATGCAAAACGAAAAATAACATTGTAGTCTTATATTAGTTAGGCCCAAGCGAAGGCGTGCATTTGAGAGGGTTTTCATAGGATGTGTTACGGGTCAAATTGGTTTTTAGGTCAAGTTAATCTTGACCCGGGTCAAATTGATCCCTAGCAGAATTTTAGGGTTAGGGCGGGCCGGAGTTATGTTGATGCCGGTCGGGGTATTTTAATTAATCAATTTTACCGGGTCAGGTTTAAAGTGACCTAAAAACCAATTTGACATTTTTGTTTATATAAAGGCAAAAAATTTGAGCTTTTTTTCTATTGTTATATTTACCAACACTGAGTTATGTATGTGGTGGCATTATTAGTGCGTACATCCATACCATTCACATTGCTCTAAATATATCTGCAATGCCTGAAACACTTTGCGTAAGCAACCTTAGCTGTAGTGACCTGATTATATGGGTATTTTCCATGAACATCACCTTACAATATTTTCCAATCGGGCTAATTCTGACAAAACAGACCTGAATATCGGTTTGTACTTATATGTGAATCATATTTGACCTATTAGTTCAATAGTTTATTCAATAAACTATTGAACCAATATGTCAAATGTGATTCACATATAAGTACAAGCCGATATTTTGGTCTGTTTTGTCCGAATTAGCCCGATTTGAAAATGTTGTAAGGTGATTTTCAAGGCAAAAACTTTATATAAACCTCCCTCTTCGCTCCTGACAATTATTGACAAAAAATATGAATCAAGAAAATCCGATTATAACTGAAAAAAGCCAAGAAGAATTAAAAAGAGATGCAAAACTTCGAGAGCTTTGGATTAAAAATGTTTGTGATCATGACAAACATGCAAAATTTAAAACTAAAGAAATTTATGATTTTATTATTGTGGGTGCTGGTACTGCAGGTTGCGTGCTTGCCAGAGAATTGATTCATGGTATTCCAAATA